ATGCAGAGTCTGGATTGATCGATAAATTTTGAGAAATATATTTCTGCATTTTTGCATCCGCGTAATATAACTGATAAGCTATCACAAGAAATCTTAGTTACCAACAGTTCATTCATAAACGTTTATAGTAAAAGTTAAATCCATGCTATTATACGAGAGTCATTACGTTGGTTATACTTGGTTATACTCAGTAGAACAATTAAACCACGTACGAATATTATTTGCATATTTTTGCAAAATTTAATGAAAAATTTTATACTATTGTAACAGGTTTTAATTTTACTGGATGAAATTTTATTTTATTTTTTTTTAAATAAAAAGTTAAAAAAGAAAAATAGATATAAATATTGATTTGAAAAACCTGCAAAACATAACCTTGTAAAATTGCACCAACTTTAAAAAAATTTAACTAATGCCCTGAGTTCTTTGTCATGAGTTTATATGAAAAATCATTGATTCAGAGATTGCCTTAAAATTTAATTGAAATTCAAATTTCTTTAATTTTATCAGTCTAGCTGATTTTTCCGAATAAGCTAACGATTTTAAATTAATATAGAAGAGATCAAATGTATGTTGAAAGCGCGGAGCACATAACCGAGACTTTTCGAACGTATAGACTCTTTCCAAAAATTTTTGAATTTTTTTTTTTTTTTCAATTTACCAAGTCACTAATACAGAATTAAGAGAAAAATGAAAAAAAAATTTTTTTTCATTTTTAATAAAAATCATGACCTTGTCAGAGCGAAATCCTTGCTCCTTTAATTTTTTCGAAAATTCAATCAAGTGGGGAAAAAAAAAAAACGGTTGGCTGGATTCAATTGAAACTTTGTAGGGTTTTTGTAGGTATATTGAGCAGTAAAATGCACACTTAACATTAGTGGTTTCCGCGATATTTTTGATTAGGCGCTTGATTTTCCAAAAAACCGCAAAAAGCCTTTTCTTGGTTGCTTTTTCAAATTCATGTAAAGATTGATAAAATTTTTTTTTTTTTCAAAAATTAATAGCCAATCCTTGTAGAGAATTTATTCAAGTTTTTAAAAACAACCTTGAATTTTCTGTGTGATTATTGGTTGCTGAGATATTGGTAATCAAAGACAAAATGATCTTTTTCCATTTAAACACCGATATCTCAGCGAGAAATGCTCGTATCGAGATTTATAAAAAACAAAATTAAAGCTGAATAAACAAGTTATCTGGTCCATATAGAGGTTAAGTCAAAAAAATTTTTTCCAAGTCCGTAGACAAAAAAACAAAACCAAAAAAATTTCGAAAATTTTTTTTTCGGTGGTTTTCTTAAGATTACTTGAAAAAAAATGTCAAAAAAAAAATTTCAAACTCAGATCCAAAAATTAGACACTTAGTGCCTACAATTTGCTTTTTTTTTATTTACTGGTACGACCATTTTTCTACAAGTTACAGCCTGTTGAAAATCCCTCAAAAATTTGGATTTTTTTCTTGCTCCCTTAATTTTTGTGAGAAGTGTATAAAAAAAAAACGATTATTTAGAAATTTTGAAATGGCTATATTTTTTGAAACCTCGTTAGATTTTGATTTACTCGGCGTCAAGTTGTGTGTTTGTGAGGTCTTGAATCGATGGATCGAAGAATTTAAAAGTTATCACAAAAAACTTAAGGTAAAAGCCCCAGTACCTGCTCAGGAACCAGTACGTGCTCACTCCATGTATTTGTATATCTATATTCATAAATGCAGATATACAAATACATGGAGTGAGCAGTTACTGGCTCCTGAGCAGCTACTGGGGCTCTTACCTTATGTGAGAATTGATTAAAATGATAAAAAAAGTTTGGCAAATTCAAAATTGCACGACACGAAAAATAGTTAGTTCTGAAAAAATATTTTTTTTCAAATTTTATTTATTTTTTCATTTCAAATATCACGCGGTGTTTTAAACTGATCATGCGCACTGAGTGTGCGCTAGCATCAGCTGTTATGTACGCCGGTAAAACATTAACATTTATATATATTATATAATGCTTCGCATTACGAGTCGTGCAAAAACGATAATTTAGAAATTTCTTAATGGCTATAACTTTTGAACGAATCACTCGATTGTTACTTACTGGGCGACATTCGACGTAGTTTTTTTAGTAAAAAAAACTATCTTTGAAGGCTGGAGTTAATTAGTCATATATTTTGAAAGTTATTTAGAAAAAATAAAAAAAAAATTTTTTTTTTTCGGTTTTTATTTGTTGAATATCTTTGAAACGGCTTGACCGATTGACTTCAAAACCTAATCAGCTCGAAGTCTCAATGAAGACATTCAAACATCGTGGGCATCTGATGAACACTCGCATTCTCAAAATCAGAGCGAAATCTACGACTACCTACTTTTGAAAATTTTTAATTTTCAAAGCGTGAAGTCAAAAAAAGAATAAGTCACGCAATATATGTATTTTTTTACAATTTCTTAAAAGGGGTAATCTGGTGTGTTTCAGGGGAAACAATTATTTTGATTATGTTTGATAGTTGGTACTATCCTATTATTTAGGCCATTTCTTTCCTTAAATTATCCGTTTTTGCGGCGCATTCAAAATAAATGTCATAAGAATAGTTCAGAACAAATTTTTCAATTAATTAAAAGGCTTTTAAGGTAGTTCTTTCCCAACCTATAGCTTATGCTACTGCTGTCTTCTTAATTCGCTCGTGTCGCCTCTCTTACGGGTTATTGCTCACTTACTTCCACGTATGACTTTATTTGTTTACTTTACTAGTTTATCAATGATTTCTCAAAAACTATGTGGTAGGGAATTCCAGAATTTTTTAGGGTATACCCTTTATAATTATAATTATACATGTATTAATCTAAGTAATATTAGTTTTTCGTGAAATTTTAAAAATTTCTTCAATTCAAAAATAATAAAACATTGCGGTTTTCTTTCTCTTTTCCCATACCGCCTGTGTAAAAATGTAATTTTCAATTGCAATTATCTTTGCTTAGAGGTAGTATATACCGTTTCCAAATTTTAACAGCAAGCGTATTATGCATTTAAATACTTATATTATAAATTTGGAAGGTTTCTTGAAATTTTTCTCGCATGACTCAACTACCTTAATGAAAAAACAAATATTAGATTTCTATCAAGAATCGTTGATAAAATTTATTCAAAGAAGTGTAGTGTTTTTTTTTCCTATTGGCCATGTAAAAATAAATAATTTGAAAAAAAGCACTATTTGGTCACACCCGAAATGAAAGGTATAAATTTCTCAATTTGAGCACGTAGTAATTGTAAAAATTTTTGATACTACCTTTAGAACGTTCATAAAATTTATGAACTAGAGGGAAATTCTATATTTAATAGTGGAATTTGTAGCTTATTTCATCAGCGAAAGTATGGACTTTACATACTGAATTGCAGTATAATAAGTTATGTTGAAGTTATTTGGAGATAATTCGATAAAATCAATTATTTTTCATGTTTTTGTTGATTATATAAGTTTTAGATAAAATAAAAAAAATTATTAAAAGAGAATGGAAAATAAGGTAAATTGAAGCTAATGACATGAATTTAACGAATAAATTGCCTGAATTTCGTTATCAATTAAAGTCTCGAAGTAAATTAGCAAAATCTCGTAAAATTTTGATTTTCATGGAAATGAAATGATTTTTCAAACATTCACATCTTTGAAACTAATGGACCGATTTGGCCCATTTTCAAATTTGACCGAGATTTTCGTTCATATAACGAATATGTTGAATTTCTAAGTTTCAAATTTTCGAATTTTTATGATTTTTTAAAAATTATTTTCAATTGAAAAATTGACACTAGAATTTTTTTTTCTTTTTAAATTATTTCATTTCTCATGAACCAAAAGAAAAAGAAATAAGTGATTGTTCCAAATAATTTTATTTAAGTTGGTTTTATTCCTAGTATTAGGGTGGTTCATACTTTTAAAAAAATACTAAATCTTCGAAAACTATAAAAAAGATCAATTGTTTTGAGAGCCAATGTCCCGGTTCTCTATGTTTAATTCGGTTCTAGGTCAAAAAATCCCAGAAAATATATCCCAAGCAAAAATAACCCATACAAAAATATCCCAAACAAAATAATCCCAAGACAAATATATCCCCTACACATAAATTTCCCTTGATAAAATATCCCACAATGAATGGGATTAATGAATTAATTATTAATGAATGAAAATTTATAATTTACATTTGATTAGATATAATTATGTACATAGCTTTACGTTTAATTATATACATGGTCCTATATAAATTAGATCTGATCAGATATAATCATATATAGATTTATATATAATCATATATAGCCCTAGATAACTCAGGTCTAATCAGATCTAATTATATATAATCATATATAGACTTAGATAACTCAGATCTGATTATATATATACTTATATAAAATAGATATACATACAATATATTAGTCTATATATGATTATATATATATTTTATATAAAAATTTAGATATAATCATACATAAATATATATAATTCTATATATTCAATATATAATCATATATAAATATATATGATTAGGCAAATTCATTTTTTCCCGGGTAGTGTGTCATTAATAATGAATGTTTAACGCTATACTTTTTTCAAGCGATACTATATACTGATAGAAAAATTAACGTGATTTAAAAGACAAAAATTTTGAACCCAGAAAATTGTTTTGAATAATTTCTTCCACTTGATTCAAGCAGCAAAGTTTTTGATCTATGTAACATTTATTTAAATCAAGAATAATTTTTTGGTTCAAAAACTTTTCTACTTGATTAAAGAAACTCAAATTGATCAGAATGATCTTAGTTCAAGATTTTTTTTTAATCAAGGTTATTTTTTAGTTAGTGAAGCTTTCAATGTGATTCATTGAATATAAATATAAAAAATTATGATATTTTATGTTTGGAATTATCTGTTGACAATTGAATATTTTTATGTTGTAGAAAATCGGATTTTGACATCCTTATTAGAAACTCTTTTTTTTTTTCTTCTGAGTGGCTACAAACACTGTCATCATGAACGGACAAAATAACTACAGTCACTTCGGGAGTTTCATTTCAAATTCTGAAACGATAAGTAATGATCTTGGACTCCAAATTCCGATTGTGAATGTATCTCCAATTGTGTATGGAAATCATCAAGTTTCTAATCGGGTATGGAATAACTTATAGCATTATTAACTTGATTTTTATTGATTTAATAAAATATTTTGAAGTTTGTTAAATCTTAACATTTAATTTCACAGAGCGCTAGTTATTCATCATCCAACGGTTATTTGTCAAGAGATTCGCCGTCAAGTTTAAGTCCACCAGAAACAGGATCGTCAAATAGGAGTTCGTTTTCTTATAGTAGTGAAATATCTCAAGACGATTTTTTTATGGACTCATTAGTAAATGGTATTATTGAAGGCGTCACTTTTGATGAAGATGTATTATCATCTGAAGTTAAACTAGCTTCTTCTAATGACCCTCAGAATCATTATTGTCGTGATGGCACAGTTTCGTTTTATGAAATTTCTTCAACAATGCAGCAAAAAGTAACTTGAATTTTTACAGTCAATATTTTTCGGTAATTATAACAATAATGGTGATTTAACAATTTTTCTGTTTGTATTTTTAGAACTCAAATGAAATGACTGATACGTATCCATTACCGATGGCAACTTCGCCAAGTACATTTTTCAATTCACCGTTGCTTCAACTTCCTCCAAGAATAAATCCAACTCCATCTTTACTTTCATTTTGTAATATACATCCAGATAACGCCATAATGTATTGTTATACGTGCCCAGCAATAATGTGTGACATGTGTCAGATAAATGTTCATGATCGCCACTTGACAATGGAATTAGCCAAAGCATCTGAAGTTGCTGAAAACCAAAGTAATCGAGCTTTAGATGAGATTGAAAGCTATATTTCAATTATAGAATCAAACATACAAAAGCTTTCGGTAAAAGATTTTTTTTAATGGAGAAAATAGTATATTGTGTGACTAGGGATGAAACAAAACGATTTCAGACCAGAGTGAAGTTGCCTGCTCGAGCGAAGCGAGGGCTGGCATCACTAGGTCTGAAATCGTGTTTCATCTCGCGTCACACATTATATTTTTCATATAACTTGCATTAAAAATGCTAGTTTCAATGTCTGGAGCCAACCAGAACTAGATAGTTTCAGACGAATAGCGAAAATATCATTTTATTATAAAATTTATAATAAAATAGAAAGTAGTGTTTATTTTTTATCAAACATTATTCGTAAATTGAATAGTTTTATTTTGTCATTCTTATTTATGCTTAATAACAGAATTATAATATGTCAGTACAGTTAACGGTTAGAATGACAATTATAAAGGTATAAAATAAACAAACAATTGATAGGATTGAAAATAAAGCTGCAACTTCATCTCGCAGGCAGGAATTGGTCATTTTCTGTCCGCCGGGAAGTAATAATTGATTCCTGCCTGGCACAGTCGCATTGGTCTGAAATTGTCTAGTTTCAGTTGGCTCAACAGGCATTGAAACTCGCATTTTCAATGCAGGTTATATGAAAAATTTTTTTTCATGATTTCATTATTTTACGCTGTAATATTAATATTGAATTTTAAACATTGCTTTTAGAAATCCTCCAATGATATTAGTTACAAGGCATATAAAGTTAAACAAAATGTTTCTTCGAATATTAAGCAAGTAGTTAATGCTGTGCTGGAACGCGAAAAAGAACTTTACTTGCACATTGAAGAAATAAAAACTGCGAAGCAAACATTTATAAAATACCAACAAGAAATTTTGAGAAACACTGTGGGTCAGTTAATGAGGATAACTAATGCAATATCTGAAGCTAAGAATTATCTTAATATCAGTGGAAATCCAGAAAATCTTATTGCCGTTAAAGAAAAAGCTTCTGTTGAGGTAAAATTATTTTGGAAATACTATTTCTCTTCGGATCAATTTATATATTTCTAACTTTTTTCAATATGGCTGAAAATTCTTTTTAGGGGAGGGAGGGAGGGAGGGGGGCAAAATGGGCTCCTAGGGGCAAAATGGGCCCCCTAAAATTTTCAATATCCAAAAATATTTGGGGGCAAAATGGGCCCCCAACATTTTCAACTCTCGAAGTGTTTGGGAGGTATAATGGCGATGTGTGTGTGTGTGTGTGTGTGTGTGTATATGTGTGTGTGTGTGTGTGTGGTTTTTTTTTTTTTTTTTTTCCCTTTAGGGGGGGGAATCCTTTTTACGGATTCTAGGCATAGATGTTGGCCCGGATATGTGGCGACTCGACGCAGCGTCATACTAAAAACTTGACGCTGACGCCCCTACCCACTAAACCCTAAACCCCTTTCTCTTCTATCCTCTGATCCCCCATGGTACCGCCGTAAGGCATTTCTTCGCGGGGGGAGGAATTAGCTGCCGCTCTTCCTTCTGGTGGCTAAGATGTTATCTTCCTTCTAGATTCTGTCTTTTGCTCTTTTTCTCTCGATGGAACGCAGCTCTGTAAGCACTTCCGTGGCAAAAGTGTTCGTTGCATTCCAAACAGCTTCTGACGACAACATTGCCTCCACGGAAAAGAAAATGCGGTAAATCCAACTACACTTGGAGTAGCATTTACCACAGGATGGACTAAAGTATATATACGCTATAGTGTGTTTACGGATGATTTTCATGTGTTTCTGTGACAACTCCAAGTGATGTTGGATTTACCGCACGTTTTTTTCCGTGT